AGCGAAACTGTGCCTGTGCGACTTATGAATATTACAGATGTAGCCCAACAGATATATAAAGGAACAATGATTGCGAAAATGACAGCTGCTGATGAAGAGAAAACACAAGGGACATCAAGAGAAACAAACGTAGGACTCCGATCTGACGTTCAAGAGTTACTTGACAGATGTAAGAAAACTCTTTCAAATGCACAAGCCTTGCAAGCTGAAAAATTCTTGCTTAGATATCAGAATTTGTTTGCAAATTCAAATTTTGATCTGGGTCGAACTACAGTTGTTAAACACAGAATCCAAACTAACCCTACAGAGAGACCAATTAAGCAAGGAGCACGGAGAATCCCGTTACATATGTTACAAGAAGTTGATAAACAGGTGAATGAAATGATTGAAAAAGACGTTATAGAACCCTCAAATAGCCCTTGGGCTTCGCCTGTAGTTCTAGTGCGTAAGAAAGATGGGTCGATGCGCTTCTGTATTGATTATAGGCGACTAAATGCAATAACAGTAAAGGACGCATATCCCCTCCCAAATATAGAAGAAGCTTTTGATCACTTGTCCGGACATGCCTTATTCTCTACACTAGACCTCAATAGCGGATACTGGCAAGTTGCTATGGAGGATGAGGACAAGAGTAAAACAGCTTTTGTAACACGCAAAGGTCTTTTTCAGTTTAAGGTGATGCCTTTTGGTCTTACCTGTGCGCCTGCGACCTTTGAACGTTTGATGGAGACGGTTCTTGCAGGTCTCCAGTGGGATATATGCCTGGTATATCTCGATGATATAATAGTAATTGGAAAATCATTCGAAGATATGCTCAGCAATCTTGAAAAGGTTTTCGATAGACTGCAAGGGGCAGGTCTAAAGTTGAAAGCAAGAAAGTGTCACCTTTTTGCCACAAAAGTCTCATACTTAGGTCACATCATTTCGAAAGAAGGCATTGCGACAGACCCAGAAAAGATTAAAGCTGTTGCTGAATGGCCTGTACCTTCAAGCGTATCCGATGTTCGTTCCTTCCTCGGGTTATGCAGTTATTATAGACGTTTTATTAAAGATTTTGCTATGGAAGCAAAACCTTTGCACCGTCTTACAGAGAAAGGGCGTAAGTTTCAATGGACAAAAGAGGCACAGGATGCTTTTGAAACTCTTCGGAACAGATTGATCTCTGCGCCGATATTGGCACTACCAGACGTATCTTTACCTTTCATTCTGGACACAGACGCGAGCAATTACTCTATAGGTGCCGTGCTTTCCCAAGAAATATGTGGAAAAGAACGAGTGATAGCTTATGCTAGCCGCACATTAACAAAAGCAGAGAAACGATACTGTGTGACAAGGAAAGAGTTATTGGCTGTCGTACACTTTATAAAACACTTTCGCCATTATCTGTACGGAAGACAATTCCTACTTAGAACAGACCACGGATCTCTTAGGTGGCTACTCAACTTCAAGAACCCAGAGGGCCAATTGGCAAGATGGCTTGAGGTAATTAGCACCTATGACATAAAGATAGAGCATCGCCCAGGTCGAAAACATGGGAATGCGGATGCTCTTAGTAGAATTCCGTGCACACAGTGTGGATTTGAACCTAACTGGGAAGAAGAAAAATCTAACCTGTCAGTGAGATCTGTGCAGTCATCCATGAAAGTAACAAACAAAGAATTTGATAAGGAAAATAAAAGTCTTGTAGAAGCACAAAAGGCCAACAAAGATATTCAGCTAGTGCGCCAGTGGGTGGAAAAAGGCAGACGACCATTATTTGCTGATGTCTCACAGTATGGTTACGTGGTCAAATCACTATGGAATCAGTTTGAGAGGTTGAGCATTCGAGATGACTTCCTAGTGCGACAATGGATTTTACTCCCCTCAAATCGAGAAACATTTCAAGTTATAATACCAGATTCAGAGAGGAGAAATGTATTAAAGATGTGCCATGATAATAAAACATCAGGACATCTTGGTGTAACAAAGACGTTAGCCAGAATAAGACAGAGATATTACTGGCCGGGATTACAAAGGGATGTCCATCAGTATATAGCAGGCTGCGATGCTTGTACAAGAAGAAAGAATCCCATTCCTAAAAGACGGGCTCCAATGCAGATCGTTGCATCTGGCGTGCCTATGGAGAGAATAGCTTCAGACATTTTGTGTGAATTACCGGAAACCGACAGAGGGAATCGTCATATTCTCGTCGTGTCGGATTATTTCACAAAATGGACGGAAGCGTTTGCTCTTCCAAATATGGAAGCAGAAACTATCGCCCGAACGATTATGGAACAAGTAATAGTAAGATTTGGCGTTCCTTCCGTTCTCCATTCAGATCAAGGGCGTCAGTATGAAAGCAAAGTATTTTTGGAGATGTGTCGGTTGCTGGGAATCACTAAAACAAGGACTACTCCATATCATCCTAAATCGGATGGTATGGTTGAACGCTTCAACCGTACACTAATATCAATGCTGAGTGCTTATGTCCAGGAAAATCAAAAAGACTGGGATTTACACCTGCCCTACATCTTAATGGCTTATCGCTCCACAGTACATGAAAGTACGGGATTTTCTCCCAACATGTTAATGCTGGGAAGAGAGGCAACAACGCCTCTAGATTTGATGTATGAAATGCCGTCAGAGATGAAAGACATTCCAGTGCATCAGTGGGTATGGATATTGCGCGAACGCTTAGAGAAAGCACATGCCATTGTGAGAGAAAATATGCCTGGGGAGATGTTGCGACAAAAGAAGTATCATGATACCAAATTATCATGGTCATCGTTTAAGCCAGGGGATATGGCATATGTATACTTTCCAGTCAGAAAGAGTGGCTGCTCCCCGAAACTGACATTGTTTTGGAGGGGACCATTCAAAGTTGAGAAGAAACTTTCTGATGTATTGTATGAAGTTGCTTGTGATTCTAGAGGGAAAAGCACCGTCATACATTGTGATCGGATGAGAAAAAGTCATGCACAAGCACTACAAGGAGAAACCGAGGAAGACATATGTGATAGGAATGATACTCCAGCTGGAGATCATATGTCTCCCATAGATATTCCTGTGGCTGAATTTGATGAACCTTGGGCTTTAAGTGAAGAAGCTGGTGCAAGCGAAAGCAGTAGACCGCGCCGTGCAAAAAACTTACCCAAATGGTTTCAGGACTACGAAGTTGATTTAAGTGCTTAGAGCTATAAGATTAGCTATTGTAAATAGGTAGATAACCTGTCTTGATAATATTGAAATATGAATAATTAAAGTTTTTGTCTTATTTTAATAGATCATGGTTAATACAAAGATTACTCCCAGGAAGGAAGGTCATCGATGTCCGATGTGTAATCTGAGATTTCTTGACGAGGTTGAGTGGGAGAGACATGTGGTGGAATGCGGTAGACAGCGTAGACAGAAGAAATTCGAATGCGCCGAATGTGATTATGCTACTAATAAGAAAAGTGACATGGGGAGACATCGCCGCACTCGACATAGTGAAGTAGTTTCCGCTGCAGCTGATAGCGGCACAGATGATTGGGAACAGTTGGACCCAGGAAATCTGTCTGATGTGGTCGGGAGCACATCACAGAGTCGTCCTGCAGAAGCCGTCTGTCAGAGGAAGCCTACCAGACCAGCTCCAGTCTCTGCGCCGATATCCAAGTCCATAGCAAGCCAGGACCCCTTGACGCCACGTGCCCCATCACCATTCCGACATCCAATGACAACTCCCAGAAAACGGTCCTCTGTTCATTTGGATGCACCTCCCGTGCAGTTGTTATCTCTAACTCGGGATGCCAGTACGCAGACACACGTGTATTATCAGTTAGTTGATGCGAGTACCCTGACGGATAAAGATTGTGAAGAGAAAGGCACCCAAACAGAGAAAGACAAACGGCGTAGACTAGATAGGGTACAGGAGACATACCAAAGAGACGGGAAAACAGTCGTTGAAGTGCATGAGGAGGAAAGCTGGTTTTGAAAAGAATATTCTTAGTTGTTATTTTTCTGACATTGATATTGATGACGATTTCATGTCATATTGGATATGTTTGCACATCTATGAATCATTTGTTGATTGTTTTCTTATTTTATCAATGACAGTGTTTGATGATATTTGGTTTGTGTGTGCAACATTTGTTAAATCTTATGAACAATGAAAGCCAGGTAGCTTTAAAATTTGTTGTTATTTTGTTTATACCACGCGTTATATCTTTAGCCCAGGTAGTTATTGATTTAATGCGGGACGCATTCCTGAAGGCGTGGGTAATGAAACAAAACTAGGAATCGAAATGATAAATTCCATTCTGTCCTCCGGAAGCTTCGTGTGTAATAAATACTTCCTGTTTAGTTAACCCTTTCGATCCTCAGAGATCACGTGATAGTTAAGGGTATATAAGCAGTGATATCAGAGCTCTTAGTTCAGTTCCAGACTGAAGTCGACACCAGTCAGTTGTTTCTAGTGAAGGTGAGAAACGTAAACTTGCTTAACAGGTCTTATGTGCCTGAATAAGGCTTTCGAGACTGTTGTATTTTTCTGCAAGTTGGTAAATATTTCTTGTTTGCTTAGCTAGGAAGCGCACGCGCTCCAGGACAGAATAGGACATTGTATATATTGATAATTAAAGTCCTTGATTGAGAAGTTTTATAATTATTTGATTTATTCCTTAAATTGCTCAGGCAGAGCAACCGAATCTTCGAACCCAGAAACGTTACAGTACACTGTACAAATATGAGTGATCTGCTTTGTTTGTATAGCAAATTTTAATGAAAAGGTAATTAAATGTGAAAGCAACACATACCTGCAAAAACTGCCGTGATCTGCATGACGCTTGTCATCCAAGCCTACTATCACAATTTTAGTTGAGCCCTACACATCCAAGGTCCAGTTTTACATACAGGTTCGTGATGTTATTCAGTATGGTCCCAGTTGTAAACAAGTTAAGGTGTAATGCCATTTTCGGAAACAGCGTTTTTAATATTTGAAAGAAATTCGTATATTTCATCTGTTCAAAATTTTCATCAGGAATATGGGTCTTAGCAGTACAGCATTCATTCTTTGTAATAAAGAAAGGCCAAGGTTTTCGTAAGAGTTATGGTTCCACCATTTTTGAAGAGAAGCTGTTTATCCCCGGACATGATAATGTCCATTCCTACAGCGCGCACTATTGCAATAATTAAATCACCGCCAGATTTTCTTAAGTTGGATTGTACATTTCATCTGACAACAGAGTTTTACGACCTCTTTTTGTTACACGACACTCTTTCATATCATTCAAGTCAACTTATCTCTTTCGGTTTGATGATTTACGCTTGTAGGAATCTCGAAAATATCTGGTTGAGGACTTTTTTTTAAATCAGGAAGTCTTGTTTAAATATCATAATAGCAGCTACTAGTCCATATTCGGCAGCGTTTTATACAATTTTCGCTCGATCGGCGGGAGAGTATATCGCTTAAGAGTCGTTTTTACTGGAATCTGGTGTTGACAATTCTTAGATGATTTCTGAAACTCGAGAATTGCATTCATCTATCACTCTTGGCGACATACAGATAGCTGGCCATTTGAATTTGAAAAAAAAAAAGAAATGGGGGGGGGGTCTTCTTGCATTTATTTTTCTAGAATCAATATCTTTACATGTAATTTTTTTCTCTCTTTTAGTTCGTACTGATTGTAAGGATCTTCGTGAGAATGGTTACACTACTTCCGGTGTATACCCGATTTATCCTTATGGTATTGACCTCAGTCCTATCAACGCTTACTGTGAGATGACCACAATGGGTGGCGGCTGGGCGGTACTAAATAAAGTAGTTTTAAAACTGGCAAAAGAAATGTTTATGAGTTTTTCTCAATCAGTTTTGCAGGACTTTGATTTAGGACGAAAACATTCACAATCAGAATACTGATTTCACATATGAAAGAAATATTCGTCACAATGGTAACGGTTTGAATAACCATTTGTTTTTAATTTCGGAAGGTTATACAAAAAAGAGTTGATGGATCTTTAGACTTTTACAAGAACTGGGAGGCATATAAGATTGGTTTCGGTACACCGGAACAGAATGTTTGGATCGGTAAATACGAATCTTATTAAAATCGGGCAAGTGTTACAATTTCATGACAAATAATCTCTGTATCATACAATTTTACACAGAAAATTATGATCTGATTTTAAGGTAGGTCCATACTTTCAGAATTTTCTGTCAAACTGTTTATTTTTCGATTTGAAAATCTTGAGTAAGTCATAATCTAATTAAAACACCCATAAAAAACATATCTTTGCAGGTTAATTTTCATGCAACATGTCTCGTAGTATATACCTCTAAAAATTCAACAGCCAAAATTCAACATTTAGAAGTGTAACATCATTTTTGATTTAGCTTTGTACCAAATCACATCCAATTATTGTTAAAACTTAGGAAAATCATAAATATTCATATGTCAAGAAAATATTTGAAATTTCTATTTGAAAACACTAAAAAATTGATGTTGATTCTGTCAAAATCTTGCAGAGAAATAGCTCAAAATATCTTTATTTTAAATAATCCTCGAAATCTTATATGTTTATATGCTATTTCTTCTTCACAATTATTTAGAATTATATCTAAGGTTAGCAAAAAAACATACTTTATTATGGTTGACCAGAAAATTTTTACAAAACAGCCTTTACCCTATACCTATACCCCCATTTTTGGAATATCTATTTTTTCAATCGTTCTTTGCAAAACTTATAAAAAAAATTAATTTAAAAAGATGATTTAGGCTAAAAATTAAAGATAAATAGATCTAAAGTTAGTTTTTTAAAAAAAAATAAAAAGCTTTAGGTCCGTAAACGTAATTCAGAATTCTCTGCCTGTGTATGTACTAAATTACATAAAGATCCTATGGACAAAGTGCAAAGTGGTTATTCCTATAAATAATGTACATTAAATGCTTTGTGTGCACAATGACACTATAATAAACAAATATTTACTTGCTACATTATTTTCAATCATCAAAAAAGATTTTATTTCAATAGACAAGGATAATAAAAATTTTATATTGGTGTGTAAAACTAAAACCGGATCCGTAAAAGTGTGGACTTGCCTTAACACAGGGTAATACATCTATGTACATGTACTTGTCAATCCTAATTGATAGTTCTCAAACCTAAAAAAAAAGTTAATTGAGACAATGTGAGAAAAAACAGAACATTTTACCAGAGGGCATTATGATGATTGTGTTGTGTCCTCCTCCTTGATTATAACAAAAAAACCGAAAGGTCCATACAAAAAATAAAGTCGCGGGTAAAAGAAAAAATGAATGTTCTGTTGAATACGATGAACTCTTCCTAATCAATGAAATCAATATTAAGACTACAATCTGATTGTGGGAGAAATTACTTTTAAAACAGTGGTGCATTGCAAAATCCCTATTTATCTTTATACAGGAAATGATGTAATTCATCAGTTAACAAAGGGAAATAACTCGTCCCTTTATGTCTCCATCACTTTCTGGAATGGTACAAGTCTGTACGAGTTGTATGAAAACTTCGCCATTTCTGACGAAACAGAGAAGTATAAACTATTTCTGGCAGGAACTGCAGAGGGGACCTTAGGTAGGTGGCTGGTAGAATGTTACCCAGAGAGAGATATTTTAACAAACTTAGTAATTTAAAATATTTTTTATAATATTTTTATTATAAGACAAGCTGTCCTGGACAACTCACTAAGTATGACACTACTGTTGTAAACGGTATAAACATCAACTATTCATATTCTTCACTGTGTGCTTAACTGAGAAAGGGCGGAAGCCGTTCTGAACTTCAGATTCCTCTTTATTTTGGCTAGCTGCAATAATGTAGCCCTCTCCTTTTTTTTGGGGGGGGGGGGGGGGAAGGGCTACAACTCCTCAGGATCTCCGTAATGGTGAACAGCGGGAGCAATTCGCTCCCGCAAGAACTTCGACTCAAATTGTCAGTAAATGGCTATTATATTAACATTTCTAACCTCGACTCCAAAAACGTAGTCATCCAAGACGTAAATCAATCGAAAAATATACAGAACTTTCCATATTTCGCTTATTTTTCGTGTATGTCAACATCACAACTCGAATTTATCCGCCATGTTAACTGACCTTGATAGATTGCATTTTGGGACAGCCAATGAGAATTAAGGTTCTATAGGAGCGGATCTTTTTGGAATTCCCTTATTTTCAGCATAGATATCGCAGCTTGCATGAAAACAACACTTAAAATGTTTTTATTTACCGATGTTTTTGTGATACAATTCACCACAATCATTTATAAACACCAATATTTGCTTTATTCAGTTGTTCTAAATTTCAAGCGACAGTTTCATTACGTCACACGTGAACTGTCATGGCTGCTGAAGTAAACTGCCAGGAAACTCGTAGAGTTATTTTACAAGTTTTTCGCATTTAACGGGCTCTGTTGTTGACAGTGAATAAAAATTTCGTCTTATTGGAAGCAAGTTAAATGTAAAAATAATTTATTTTGCCTGCAGTCGCTCCTATTTTAAAAAGATATTTGCACCATTACGGAGATGCGACGGAATTGTAGCCCTCTCCAGAAAACATCAGATTAAAAAAAATCGGAGAGGGCTACATTATTGCAGCTAAAATTTGGCATTATTTTAAAGACATAAAATTTCCATATCAAAATCATTTTTTATAGAGGTTTTTTTTGTAAATTTATGTATTGGAACGCAGACATTGCCCCCCTTCTCACAACGACTAACAAAACGTATTCTCCCTAAGGAAATATATTTCTTGGCCGAATAAATCTTCGTGTTTCCCAAACATTCATGCAATGAATTGCTTATTAAACCGAAACAAGCAAACATATCTATTAAATAAGCATAAACATTGGGAAACTAGGGAAAGTTTGTTTAAAATTGGCCAAGTGGTTCTAGAGAGGAAATCGAAAATGGGTAGGTTTACAGACGGACGGAGAGACAGACAGCTTTACACGGATAAAGAGACGGACGGACGACCGACAAAATGTGATCAGAAAAGCTCATCTGAGCCTTTGGATTAGGTGAGCTAAGAAGAATAGATTTATCCCAAGCATGAAGCTACACATGTCATTGTTTTGTATTTTCTTTAAATTCAACAGGTGACAGTATGTTGAACACGGGGGATCCTACACGTGACCTGTCTGGGATGTATTTCTCCACTCCCGATAGAGACAACGATCGTTTGAGTGGAGGAAGCTGTGCCGCGCACTTTAAAGGAGGTTGGTGGTTCAATAAATGTTACCGCGCTTTCCTGAACGGTCCAGCATATATTTATTGGCCTTGGTACCCCGCAGTTGAATACGGCACCTCTGTCAGGGGAACTCTGATGATGATCAGGCGGCACTAGGTAACGGCATTCATTGTAAGAAAACATTGAATATATCTTTGATCATTTAATTTCACTGTGACGGATTACTTGATAAGCAAGTTTTGCGATAAAATGGCTTCTGCCCTGCCACAGGGCCTTTTTAATATAAACAATTAAATTGTCTTTTAGATATACGTGTACATGTACATGTATTTGACGTTCAGTGGTTTCATATACACTGTCAGAGATTGAGAAGTTCAATACATCTTTATATTTTTAATTCTCTTGCATTCACAGCTGATGATTCTAAAAGGACTTCATAAAGGCTCTCGGAACTATTCCCATGAAAGAGATTTTTAATTTATATCTTTGAACCTGTACTGAGATACCCTTGTCCTCCAAATTAATCTTTTTCGTTAAATTTTTCTTGAATGAATTTAACTCTCTATACTTATATTTATATCTGTTTGCAATAAAATTGAATTCAAAGAATATATAGCTCTTATTTTGAAATTGTGCTGTATGGACCTACCTGGACAACTAATGAAAGGAAGAATACTATATTATGAAGCATATTGTCTTAAAAAAAACAATCAGATACAAACTATGTCATTACCGTCTTCCTTGGAAGACGGTATTGTATAGTTGAAGTTTTTTACAGTCTTCGGACTATGCACTTCCTCTCTTTTGTGATTTTTAGAAAATGCATGATGAGAAAATTTTCAATTATTTCATTGGTTGAAATGCTGTTCAAGGCAAGGGAGATAACTTTTTGATGATCTAATTTTCGTACGACTTAACAATTTTGCAAGATTTTCAATCTTAAAAAAAAATGACAAAACGAACAACAAAATCAGCAGTAATTAATTCCTAATAACATGATTTTTTGTATAGCAAAAAATAAAAAGATCTCTTTAACTTCATTATAAATAAAATTTGATTTTTATTGCTTGCAGGCTTTACAATTTGTTATTATTCTTTTCCCCTTTCTTGTTTGAAGAAGGAAATGGAATCAGCCGAGGTTTGCCGAAAGCTCTCGGCGAGTCAAAGTTTACGGAGATGACCGAGCGACAACTGTGGTAGGGCTAATGCCGGTAAAAAGCTGATGTAGAAAAACAAAATCAAGAAATTCAAAAGAATTATACGGCCTGATAGGTGTAGATCAGTTTATAGTTTAAGATTGTTGCTAAGACGGGAAGCTTTTTAAAAAAGCTCTACTTGTAACATAAGTACAAACATAAACAACGATTTTTAGCTCACCTGAGCCGAAGGCTCAAGTGAGCTTTTCTGATCACATTTTGTCCGTCGCCAGTCCAGCTGTCTGTCTGTCCGTCCGTCTGTCTGTAAACTTTTCACATTTTCTACTTCTTCTCAAGAACCACTGGGTAAATTTTAACAAAAATTTTGTACAAAGCATCCTTGTGTTAAGAGAAGTTTAAATTGTTAAAATGAAGGGCCAAGTCCCTTCACAAGGGGAGATAATCAAGCAAAGAGAAAAAATAGGGTGGGGTCATAAAAAAAATCTTCTCTAAATCCACTGAGCCAGGAAAGCTGAAAATTATGTGGAAGTATACTCAGGTAGTGTAGATCCTAAATTGTAAAAATCATGACCCCCAGGGGTAGGGCGGGGCCACAATAGGGAATCAAATTTTTACATAGACATATATAGGAAAAATCTTTAAAAATGTTCTCAAGAACCACTGGGCCAGGAAAAATGAACCTTGTTTGGAAGCATCCCGGGGTAGTGTAGATTTTAAATTGTTCAAATCATGACCCCAGGGGTAGGACGGGGCCACAATAGGGAATCAAAGTTCTACATAGAAGGATAAATCTTTAAAGATGTTCTTCTCAAGAACCACGGGGCCAGAAAAGCTGAAACTTATTCGAAAGCATCCTGGTGTACTCACCATGTATAGGGGCACATGTGGGGTTTCGGTTAAGTATCATATGGGGTTTCAACTCCAAAGCGGTGATTTTTTGCATTTGGAAAATATATTTGTAAAAAATCCTTTGCTAATGAATTCTTCGGGGCCAAATGACATGCGCAGGGTTGTAAGAATGTATTACCTTCCAATTTAGTGTAAAAGGCTGGTTGAAAGCGTTACAAATTGTGAAAACACTTCTGGACAGTTCAGTCATCTGTGAAAATTTGTGGTGCCGCTGACATTCTTTGCTCTATAATTTTCAAAAGCGGACCTTTAAAGCTCATTTTAAGGACGATAGATAAAGATTGATAGAAAAACAATCCATGAAAAGTATTTTCACCTTTAACAATCTCTATTTTTGTAAGAAATATAAACTTTTGTGGCCAAATTCTACTGTGCCTAACGGCGTTTCAAAGTTTGTTAACATAGTGGGTTTCAACAAAAAGTTTTTTACTATGTTTAAATCTTTGCTTTCTTTCAAGAATATATTGATTTCGTCCATTAACTACGAAATAAAAATGAATGGTCATTTGTTAAGCAAAAAGTTTGGTTGTTATCTATGTGCAAAGATGAACAGATGTGAAAGCTCACTCAATCTTGAGACAGGTTGCGTCTCATACACAAGGAAATAGATTTCCCTGTAACAAATGTGGGAAGAAATTTGCACATAGCATTGGGAGCACTTCTACCAAGCATAACATTTTACTATTGGAATTCTTCATTGAAAACTCTCACTTTTGTTGCGGTACCGTCAAATAATGGTATTGAAGAGTAGTGCATGGATAAAAGTTTGTACTGAAATATGAACCCCCCTCCCCACATCTCCTCCACAAACAAGTAAAAATAAATCTGTTTGTGCAGTTTTTTTGGTAACTTTTTTTTTCTCTGATCCCTGTTAAAAATTAGAAAAGGATGCTATGTCCCGTCCCTGTATTGCCATAGAAGTATGCTTTGTTCCTCTCGTGCGTCTTTACCAGATCAAAATAAAACCTCCTTCCCACATTTTCCTAAAGGAAACCCAGTTTCGTGTTTATGAGACGCAATGTGCCTCTCTGTGAAAATGATTTATTTAATTGAACGCCTTCTTTTACATAATCGTATTCAATGGCGTTGTATATGCAGTAACATTGTATATAACTATATATGGAGAGCAATGATTAAAGTCCCAAAAGAAGTGTTTTGAAAAACATCACTAGACTTTGATTAAGTAGTGGTCTCAGTAAGAATCATGCAAGAGGCGGCACATTGAAAATCTTGGATTTTATTAAAAATTTCCACAATTTTTCGCAATGATGACATATGAAGTCATACAGAGTAAAAAAAAAGTAACAATGGTTGCTTTGGGTAGGATTTCATTTGTCATACCGGCGTACGCCGAATGCGCCGCTTGACCTTTCGTAACCCGGCTTGTTACTTCATTTGACCGGGGAAGGTTCGCCGGCGTACGCCAAATGCGCCGGTCTGAAATGACCGGCGAGGAGATCGCCGGTCTTTGAAATATGGCGGGAAGAGAAAACAACTGTGAAAATGCAGATACTTTTTACGAAATTGACATGTTCTTTATTTGTTTGCATATTTTGAGCAAATCTCTATTCATATATTTAAAATATGTTTTTATTTTCTGAAAAATAATTTTTTTCATGAGGTCCATGTTTTTTTTAAAATTGAATTTCGAATTATTCTACTAAGACATAATGTAAAAAGTGATAAAACTTAAATAATTGAATATCATTTAGCGTAATTATTAATTTTTTACAAATTTTCTCGCCGGTTTACTTCATTTGCCTCTTAGCCGTTTTACGCCGGTCATATGACCGGCGCAATTCGGCGTACGCCGATCAGTGACAAATAAAATCGGCCCATGGAAAACATCATATTTCTGTTTCCATAGCAACCACCTGTGTATAGTGTTTTGAAAAATTTTAAAAACTTATTTTTTATAACGGTATAAAAATGAAAATAACACGTTTTAGAACATAGCAACAGTTTATCAAGAAAATACAAAGGTTAGTTAAAGATAAAAGTATACAATACGAGGGGTGATCAAAAAGTAAACTAATTGAATAACTTCCATACAAGAAACAATATTTGGTTTTAATGTTGATTATATTTTAAATTAATCCTCCCCGATTTTAATGCACATCAACCACCGTTCCGCGCATGCGCGAATCACGTGATATTGGCGGTCACGTGACCCCCTCCGTAGCGTTCTGTCACAAAAGTTAAAAGATTTTTCCGAGTTTTATATTTCTTTCCATGCGAGTTAATTTTTATGACAAGAACAGTTAATTTGTCAGAAATGGTCATATCTCGGCAACAGAATGGGTGGATAATACCATCCTTTCCAAAAATAAGCATGGCGACCATTAAAACACAAATCGTCTGTCTCAGGAGAGACCTTTATTATGTTCCCCAAACGAAGTTGGGGAACATATTGTTTTTACTCTGTTTCTTATTATTATTAAGGTCTTCCGTCTTCAGCGGAAGACCTTTCTGTTATTCTTAGGTTTCTTTTTCACTTTTATTATTGTTTTTTTCTTACCGATTTTGTGCACGCGATTTCTCGAAAACGGCTAGATGGATTCTCATGAAACTTTCAGGACTTATGTATCATCACTTGAACCTTATGCGTTTTTTTTCTTTTTTGATGACATCACTTCCGGTCTGAGATATTGCCGATTTTATGAATTTTAAAGGGTTGTGTTGTCCAGAGTTTTTCTGAAAAATGAGTTGAGATAGAAACATGAAAGTTTCAGGCATGATAGACCTATGTCTGTAGATGTGCCTTTCGTATTTGGCTTTTTCTGGAAACGCCGTACGTCGGCGGTCGCTATGGTCCCAAAAATGGTCTATCATAAATTTGAAAAATTTAAACACTTTTTCAACAGTATCTTTTTACCTGTAAATATTTTATCAAAACACATAGAACAAAAGTTGTTAAGAATGTCACGATCTTTGAACGGATATCAACTATAAGGGCCTGGCCCCTAAAATTAAGGGCCTAGAGGGGCCGAAAGTTTTTTTTCTTATATCTCAAAACGTATTGAGAATTTGTAATACGTCAAAGAAGCAGAGTTGTTCAAAATGTCAAGCTTAATCTATTGGGGTCATCAA